CATGAAAATATTTTCTTTTCTACATAATTATTTTCTTAATAATAGTGATTGAATCATATTAATAAGTAAATGCATTTTATAGAATGTAATGTACTTTTAAAATAGTACTTTACTATTTTTATGATACATTCAGTTTCTTTCAAAGAACTACTGACCATGCTTCTGTACCGAAAAGAATGTAATATAGAATTGTAATATAGAATTTTACTTTACCGCATCATATATCTGGTCGTCTGTTTATATCTTTTTTAAGGGAATAAACTTGAAAAATATACTTAAAAGACGCATCAATAATAAAATTTTAAAGATAATAGAGAGTTTTTGCAATAAGTAATAAGTGGATCTAAGTAGCGAACGCTGAAATCCTTTCCTTAATTAGTCGCTAAGAAGAAGATAACATGACCATAATATCGACTATGTATCTTTTTCCCTAGGACGAAAATGTGAAAAGTTAAAATTTTTTATATGTATGTTTGTATATGTACATGCGTTACGCTGTAGAAAACAACGCCATTATACGAATCAAGCTGTAACCAGTATGACCCGCGTTCACAGTAAGCGTTGCTAACAACAGTATTATTATTGTCAGTCCAATGTAGTGTAGTAGTGTTCTACACACACATATGTGTGTCTATATACCCATATATATATGTGTGTGTGTGTGTGTGTGTGTGTGTATATATATATATATATATATAAAAGTGATATTTTCATGAATGATGTAAAAATAATTAACCTTTCCTAAAAACAAACAATTTTCTTTCGTTGAAAAACACCCTATAAAGTCAGAATGAGAAAGATTAGTCGTTAATGGGCTAGCTGTAATAAAAATGCCACAGCCATAAATCGTACTTTGACTAATTATAGACAAATATGTCAGAGACGTTCATCGTGAGCTGATTATTTTTAATTTACTGCCAGAGGCAGTATTTTGATCATCAAATCTGGTGAAATATGATGTTTGCGGAACCAATTCGTATAATTTTGCGTCTCCAATTGAAGAAATGTGAGTGGGTGCATTGTCATGATGGAACCAAAAATTGGTTGTTTGACACGACCGAAACAAAGAAACTAATGAAACACATGTGTCTGAAATTTTAACAGTAATCCTATAAAAGATCAAACTTTTCTAAAATATAGCAGTTTGATATTTGTGTGATCATTTCTTTATTAGACCGAAAATTTTTCGAATTTATATCTCTATCAATTATAAATCAATATCAACATATCAATAATAACTATGTATTAGATTATTATAATAAAAATAGCATGTTTCATTATAGAAAAATGGATGTGACCTTGCAAACGCCAAGGTCAAACTGAATATCAGTAACTAGCTTCTTTGAAACCTTATAATTTTTGTCTGAAACGTGTCTTCTAAAAACGTTATGTAAAATCTTAGCACAAGAATGGTTGTAACTGAGTTGTAGAATCATAGTCATAGGTCAATGCACTATATTTTGGCATACTATGTGTGCCGATACAAATACAATTCCTTTACGATTAGTTATAGTCATATTTATGTTCAGCTTATAAATCCAAGGTCTTTTTGGACATCTTATATAATATATATGTTATACATATATATATATGTGCTATACATATATATATATAACATTACTAGTCATATGCATAATTTTCATACGATGCTGTATATCTATGAAATGTATATAAGTATATCATATTCAAAGTATTTTAGTAAATGTGTACACTTATTGGTCAATGTATATATTGACTAACAACAAGTTACATAGGTATATTTTTACTAAGTGAACACTCTGACTGTGACATAAATATATCTTCGGATGCAAACATGTATTTGAAAAATATTGAGAGTATGTATAATATTAATTTTAAGAGATTTTTTGGTAAAAATGGCTTTATTGTGAAAAAATGGTTACAAATTGATCATTCAAAATATTGTTCATCGTTAGCCACTACTTTTTTCCATCTTTCTGGTAATAGGTGAATTCCAAATTGAAAAAACGACACATCTTTTGAGATTATCCATGAATCGACCCATTTTTTGATATCTTCATAAGAAAAGCACTTTTCAGATAGGCCATGAGTCGATCGAAATAGATAATCGAAAGGAGTAATATCTGGAGAATATAACGAATGTGATAGGACATCCTAGTTAAGCGCTTCTAGCGTTTTCTTGACCAATTTCGCAACATATGGCTGAACGTTATCGTGTTGGAAAATCACTTTGTCGTGTCTTTTCGCAGTGTCTAATCTGTTTGTTTTTGCTTCAATGCTTTTTTTGGCTCAATTGCATCAATTTTGTTGTTGGTTAATGTTTTCTCCAGTAATGGAGTAGATATATACCCAGCTGATCCCACCAAATATAAAGTATGAGTTTGACGCCATGAATATGCGGCTTTGCCGTCGATGTTGATAGTTCGCCTGACCTGCACCATGATTTTTTCCGCTTCAGATTATCATAGCGTATCCATTTTTCATCACCCATCATGATACGATGCAAAAAACTTTTTTATCTTTGAAGCAACAATTCACAGGTTTTGCGTCTTTTGACCTCCCTCGGCTTCAACTCATACGGCACTCAATTTCTTTACTTTTGAATTATTCTAATAACCGTCTGGAAATCGATCAATCGATTTAATGATTCTACAAGTTTTTGCATTCGACTCGAGTCTTGATCGAGTAAAGCTTTCTCTTCCTCATGTTCAAATTTTTTCGATTGTCCTGGACATTTCTTGTCTTCCGTGTCAAAATCACCTTTTTTATAGCGTCGAAACTAGTATTCATGAAATCAATGGAGTATAATCACCATAAGCTTCCAAAAGCATTTATTGACTTTCAGCACCATTTTTATTCAAATGAAAGCAAAAAAGCAAAGCTTCCTGCAAATTGCATTTTGTTGACACAAAATTCGATATATTCAATGCCCAAAAAAACAATGTTATTTATACTTCGACAAAATGACACGTACTGAACTAAAGCCACATGATGGTGGCACCAATATTTGGACATGAAGGTAGCAACAATATGACCCGATGCGATAATACTAGTTGCGCCATCTCTTGAAAATTCTTTAAAATTAATGCACACTCCCACTACTTGTATATATGTGTAATGTAATTATAAAAAGTAGCACTTCTTCCCAACGCCATTTTAACTTAGGACGTAACATGTA